GTCACCAATTATGCCGGGTAGTCAGATGATGTGAGGAGGAGGTGGAGGATCACTTTATTCACACATTCATACAGATACAGACTTTTTACACATTGCAGCAGGTCTCTTTTTATTGTTTTTTAATCGGAGTCAGATTCAGGAGAGGCTACTGGGGCTTGCAGGGTCAACTCCTCTTGTTCCATCTTTTGTCTTTTGACAGCTGGCTTTTTGAAAAATATGTCCAAGGTGGTCTGTTTCTCTCTCTTCTTCAACACCTGTCGTAAATGACGGGCAAGGGTGTCATTGTAGAGATCATTGATCCTGTTGGCCTCAGCTGTGTTTGGATAATGAGTGTTGGTAAACTCCTGAACCTCTCCCCATTTGACAAGGAAGTTTCTGTCAACTTTCATTCCTTCTGATGATTTCTTTGCTTTGTTTCAATTGAAATCACCTTTCTGTTTTTTTTGAAGCCATGATTTACACAACACTTGAATAAATGTAAATACCCTGCACTGAGGTGATGTACGTAATAAACAAGAGTGCAAGCCAAATCCCAATGGGAGCTCTGTACTTCAGATATACTAATAATATATTCTAATAATATTAATATATTATAAAAATAACAGATTGTCATTGGCAACGGCAAAAGAGTGGAAATGTCATTCGCACTTGTTTGCAGAAAGTCCATTGTTCGCCTAATGTAACTGCCGAACGGAAAGTCCGTTGTTTGCAGCCAGTCCGCTGCTCAAGTCACATAATGTCCAAATAGAAAGTCCGTTGTTCACAACGTCCATTATTCGAGGCACCACTGTATTGTGAATTAAAGTTGGCACTTTAACACATGTAGCAGAGCTTGCTGTAGAGTGCTACCTATGCTCTACAGCTGTTTGATTTGTGTTTGTGTGCAAGCTTCAGGTATAATATGTCTAAAAAATTATTTGTACATGTTAACAAGTTGCATCCTATGCATCTATTTGTGTATTGTTCATCTGATAGGATTAATAGGATTACTGCTATATTCAATTGTAAATTTTTTTCTTGTAGGCAAATTCTTGCAATATCTGTGTTTATTAGTGACAAAATTTATATAAATGAGATCTCATTTTTCTTCTTACAGAGAAAAATAAAATTCTTATGATTTCTTTTATTAATGTCTGTTTTATTTGTACCTACTCTTAAATCTATGAAATACTAAATATTTGAAGAATCATCTGTAGAATCAATGAAATCTCTATTTTCAAGGGCAAATGCTTTTCTCATAACTCTTTTTTCCCTGATGATGATTACTACTATCACTACTACCTAATCATGTAAAATTTAATTTATGTTTAAAATTTACTTACCTGTTGAAGTCTCACAAGTGTATTATGACAAAGTGTTAAATTATGTGCAGTATTTGGCAATAAAGCCAACAATGGAATGCAGGCCATTAGCTGAACTGGACTTAATTCAAAAGGCAATCCAAAATTTGATGATCTGTAAAATATACACACAAAAAAATCATTTATTCATATAAATTCCAAACAATTTTTAAATTGTGGCAGTAGTAATTGTCAAATAAAAGTGTTTTAATATAGTGAAAAGTAAAGAATTAACTGTTACTAATAAACCAGATGCAAAGGAGGAAAATTGTTATGAAATTTAAAAAAAAAGTGTTTTTTGAAGTTTAATATAAGAATTATATGTAGAAAAATAAAACAGATAACTAAATAAATCAAATATTTTTCAATACTTACCTCTCTTCTAGTTTTGAGGGATGCCCAACAATAAATGTAAGACAAGCATTCAGAAGTTCTGCTGTCGCTGGAAATTGATGGAGCTGATTAGCAAGCAAATGAAAACTCTTTGTTTTAAGAAAATTTTCAATGACTTCATCAGAACTTCTCTGAAGATAAGCATCTAGAGTCTTTAAAAAAAATTGCAAAGGAAACAAATGTTAAAAATTTTTTATTTATTCCAAATAAATGTTGAAATATGTGCCATTTTTAAATACAACTAATAAAACAATTAATTGTACTTGAAAATTTAAATGCAATTAAATGTATTATGTAAAATCTTTCAATAAATGATTTTGAAAAAAAATAATCTTTTTAATAATTTCTATATTAAAATTTTTAATAAATTAAGATAAAATACAGGTTGAAAGTCCTTTATTCTAAATTCCAAAAACCTCCAATATACAAATGTTTATCGAGTGCCGACACAATGTGACACAAATAGAAAATTCCACAAAATACTTGGAATATTCCAGTGTTCTCTGCAGTTCACTTTTTGCTAGGTGTTCTACCAGGATGATTTTTCTGAATTCTGGCTGATAAAACTTCACAATATATATATATATATAACAACACCTGTATATACACAAAAGATGTAGCTTCTCATATTTATTGAGTGTAGTTCAATCACAATTTTTAACACAAGTTTACCAACCAGAACACATTCAAAATTGAAACAAATATGTATTATTTCAAACATATCAATTAACACCTCTATATGAATGTATCTAAAATTATTTTAATACTTCTACAATAGGTATTTTTTTAAAATGTTACAACTTTTGGTTTATTCTTATTGACCATCTTTGAGTTGATTGTCTTGCTTTGGTGCATTGTTGATGACAGTATGACAACTTTTATTTTTTTTAGAAACATATGAAACCAAATTTGCATAGTCTTTCCTGAATCCAAAAAGGGACGAATGGTCTTCTCTACAAGGTGCTGGTAAGAAAATATGCAGGCAGCTCATGTTTGTTCTTTCTTACTATTCCAACTGTTGTGAGGTTGTGCTGGTGATAAATGGAACACTTATGAACCAATTATCATATGTTACAAGACAGTCAGTACCTCAAATTGGTTCTATCAGATATTTTACAACAGCAGAAGGAGTTTGATTTACATGAAATGGGCCATCAGGCTGTTTTCCTAAATATGTTTATGTTTGGGAACATAGTATCCTCTAGCATCTACAAGTGAAAACATCTGTATTTGGCAGATTGCTTTTTTTTATAAACTGATAAAATCTCAAGAAAACTTTACATCATTTCCTCAATTGTTGTGTACTTGCTTACACAAACTTTTTTATAGTTTTCTACCAAAAGTTCAAAAATTTCTCAACAAAATCTCTGTTGACTCATAGCTGTATGAAAAATGGGGACCCTCGTGCCATCATCTCTCCACAATTTGTCAGTATGTAAATGTGACAATTTCAATACATTCAAACAATACAGAAGAACTTTCATCTCCACCAAATATGTGGGTTTTGCATCAATTTCTTGAGCATACTTTGATTTTATAATTTCAATATTAATGTTAGTATAGTCCACTATCTTCTGTAAAATGGTGTCAGGAAAAAGCACTATCACACTTCCAGGAGTGTGTTAGTGTTTTTGTGTAACCTTTGCAACCTGGAAGATGAGTGACAATGTTGTATCTTCTAGTGCACACTGACTGTAGTGGTTCTATCTTCTTTCATTTCATACCATCCTTCCCTGTGTAGTAACTTCCATCATCTGAAGGAATGGCATCTTCATCATTATCACTTTGTGATATATAAGTATCAAACTCGACGTTATCCCTGTTTTTTTCTTCCCTTACTTCTGCATCAACATTACTTCAGCATCATTCTCTTGACCATCTAACTATACTTCATCAACTTGACTCATCTTCATCTTTTGAAAGTATTTCATGTAGCACTCTACATACTATATCTCTTTCTTTTTAATCCATTTTGTACATTATATGTGAAGACACACTATGACTAGAAACTAATAAAACTGTAAGGTATTAAAAATTTACACAAACATTAAGAGTCATAATGGATCATGCCGACACAAAAGATGTTTCCTGTTAGCGCATTCAAGCAAACTGAATAATGGCTATATGTTCATGGAGTAAAATGAGATAGGAAATTACTGAGAGTCACACTAACCAATAGCAATGGTTTGGTAATTCAAAATAGACCGAGTGTGGTTATGATGACCCGCAACACCTGTCGTGGGTTAAAAAAAACATCCATATATATGGATTTCATCAAAATTTAATAAAAAATACCTAAATGAGTCACATCAGATGCAAATATACAAATATAATAAAGACTCAATAGTCCCTCACTTGCCAGTCTGATATGACCACAGAGTGGCATGCACATTTACAGGTTTCCACTTGTCAATATATGCAACATAGAGAAAATGATGTACTGTAGATGTATGCTGTCAGTCACTAGTTGTTTGTTGCAAATGCAGTAAAACAGTCACAATTGTGATTAATACAATAAACTAACCTGTGAACGAAGTGTATTTTTTATTGTACATTACATACATTTTTTTACTACAGGTACTTTGTACAGTACCCTATACTGTGTGATTAGTTTTGCAGAGTGATTTGTTCTTGTATGTACTTTTTTATTCTATTTATTCTAGTTCTATTTTTTTATTCAAAATTCAGTAATTCAACCAGTCTGATGTATGTCAGATTAGAGACTCTACTGTATTGCAAAACACTTCCGGTCCCAAGCATTTCAGATAAAAGATTCTCAACCTGCACTAAGAAATGTAAGTATACGAATTATTGGTTTTTATAAAATTAAATATTTTTATTATCGTAATTATGAAATAAATCTTCCCAACTTCAAAATCAAACATCTTTGTATAAATATAAAAACAACTAGACTTTTTAGAGATTTTTAAATTGTTGTTGTTATTGTCTTTATTTTTGTGTATGTACTTCTAAATTCTTCTATAACTTTACTACTTTAATAATGTAATCATCATTTTGAACTTTTATCATTTAGTCATTTTATAAATGATAAAGAGATTATTGTGAAAACCAACACAAGCATCAAAACTGCAAATTATTTAGACACGTATCAATCATATTTTGTTTGTTTCCAGATATATGGAAAACCATAGGAAAAAAGATGTATAAATAAAATATATGATCATTAATTTACTAACTATAATATACTTTTAATAATTGATAACTGACAAATAAAATATAAAGCAAAATTCTTGTATTGCCATACAAACTTTATAAACATTTTCTATTTTTTAACTTTGATTATTTTCATTTTTGACTACGAAAATAACTTATTTAAAATAGGACATCATATCAAAACTTGTTGAATATGAAAAGTGGGAGTTGAGGATTCGAGTCCGACACTGGGCAAATTCTTTTCTTCCAGAAGTTTCTAAATTAATTCTTAAATATTAATTTACTTATAATTATTAAATTTATTGTGAGATGGCAATTTAATCACTTATCTCTAGGCAAGATTACTCTGTATCTAATTTTTAAATGTAGCCATAATATAGCCCAACACAATCTAGCAGATTGTTTGTATCAATTTGCTCTGCATTTTCTCAATACTGGATAAAGTGTTAAGCAAATTATCAAATACTTATTAAATATTTATTTAAAAATTCTTTAAAGAGAGAATATATTTTCTGATCATGTATGTAAAGTCATATTACAAATACTTAAACATAAACAATGGAAATTCATTCCTTACCATGATACATGATGAAGCCACAAGACTGCAAGGATTGAGAGCAAAAACTATCAAAGCTTCCGGTTTTATTGTTGAAATAACATCATTAATTATTGAATCTGGTGCAGTAATTATGGTTTCTCGAATAATATTAATCAGACCTTAAGAAAAAATATGCATATAATCAATTTTTTTAATTTCATGAAATATGTAATTTTAAATACATAATACATCTATATACAGAATAGCAATGTTTTTATTATAATTTTAATCATCTGTATTTATGCCTTGACCTTGGTTTGGCAGAGTATTAGATGCTGGTTTATAAACTGGGTATGATACAATCCACCAACACCAATAATAATAATAAGGCAAAGAACATAAAACATAATAAAGTTGATAACAAGATTAGTAAAGATTATATTAGCAGACTGAAAAAATTTAAAAAATCAAAGCTGAGAGGGGAAAATACAATCAAAGCAGTAAATACTTAGGCAATACCTGTTATATAACATTGCTGTCATAATTGATTGAATCAAGACTTGATGCTTAGATCAAAAACACAAAAAATGTTGATAATTAATCATGCTTTAAATCCAGAAAGCAACAAAGGCAGACTTAATCTGAGCTTTGAAAAAACAGACTGCTACAAATTAAACAAATTGTTGAAGGAAAAAGAGGGCTGTTAGAATACATAGAAGAAAGAAAGTGAAAAGGAAATGTAGAAAGAAGGTAAAAATACTGAATTTCTACAAATCAAAGGAAAAAAGCAACACACTAAAAGCACAATTGACAACCCAAAGAAACAACTGAAAAAATAAAAACCACTGCCTCAGAAATATCTTTAAGTACTAGTAATTTTAGATCTGTATTTGCATTTTTTATATTACTATTTAATTAAAAATCTTCTGTTATAGAGCTGTTGTTAATATTTATTTACTATTTTATAATCTGTTATGTATCAATACTAAAATGTTATAATTATTAATCTAAAAACATGAGTTAATTTTCATATTCTGAATTTTTTTTCCTAAAGATTTATTTTTATTGTTTATGATTTGAATAAAAACTGGATTATCCGAAGAGACTTAGATATTTTGTTTTTGGATATCACAATCTTTTGTATCAGGAATTTTTAATTTAATAGTACAAATAATTTATAGATATATGGCCAAGTAAATAAAATGTAAAAAAGAAATATGACAATTTCACTTATGAAGTTATACCCTGCATGTCAAATTTTCATTGGTGCTAGTGAATTAAATATCCAAAAATCTTCTAACCCTAAACATCAAAAATGGATGTTTAGTAATTATAAAAATTATAACACACTTAAAGCAATTCTTGGTATATCACAATCATGACAAATCAAAGATTTTTGAAACCATAACCATTGTCAGAGGAAGTTTTACAGTTTATAACATATAACTACATATGACAACTGTTGCTTAAACTTTTGAGGAGGTGGAGGATTAGTGAGATTGGGTTGGGAGAGGATGATGACAACAACAATGGTCTTAATAATCAAAATGTACACTTATTGACCCAAGCATTTACAATAATGAAACTGCAAAACACAAAAAATTGCTCTGGCATAAGTTAAAAAATCTTTAGGAGTGAATTGAGGAGTGGGGAGACTCTCAGTATTTTTTTCTTGAGTGTCAAAGAATATCTATGCCAAATTTTGTGCAGATACATTGAACAATACAGAACCTTTTACTATTCAATCTATCTAATATAAATACATCCTTTGAAAAATAACTTATATACAAGAATCCTACTCAAATTTTTGTTTCAAATTTCATGACTTTCCCTGACCAACTTTGCACAAATTCCCTAACCCTCATGTCCCTTACAGTACAGCACATTAATAAAATGAAACAAAATTTGACTTTATGTACAGTACATATGCTATTGCTTCTCTAATTTTTTAATTAGTTATGTTTTTCTAATTAACAATTATGTAACTTTTATAACAATTAAATTATTAAAATTAAAAACAAAATGTTTTATTAAATAAAAGTGATTTATTCTGTTATTAATTCACAACTGTAAGACTACATGGCTTCGTAGAAAGCCATTTATTTATTTATTATTAACAAATCCTGTATTATCCATGTACAAAAGTATATATTTTTTAAACTTGCCCCTTAATAAATTTACCAAACTTTATAAAACATTAATAAATTGCATTAACAAAAAATTTCTGATTTTTTCCAATCAAAATTATTAAAATAGAAAAATGATAAATAATTTTAATATAAATGGTATTATTTAACCTTTTTTTGTACTTTGTAACCTTTTTTCTCATCAATGCATTTACATTGCTCGTAAATTGAGTGTAAATGGTAATTGTGAGGAATTTGAAGAGATTTAAAATATTTCAAAAAATTATATCAATGTTAGATTATTAAGAGCATTACAGATTTTTGTTTTTCTTCTATAAACTCAAGGATCCCTGTTAACACATCTGCAGAAATCTGCTATCTAAATTATCTCAAATACCTGGACATGAAAATATCTACTGTTCACTACACACACTAAATTTCCAGTATTTTCAGATGATGCTTTCAACGATATCAGATAAAGCAGTTGCGCATCTCAGGTTGAATAGATTGGTGGGAGAAAGCAATGTAACACTTGGACAATCTTCCAAGAAAGAATGATTCCCAGTGAATTTTCTATAGGAAACTGTCCCTATTTAGGTGTTAGATATGTAAAGAAAACTGATAAACTCCATGTGACCAGGCCATTGATTAGATGCAAACTTGTGATCAACTAACTTGTGTTTCATCCACATAGCCATTGATAGCCTAAGCACATAAGGAAGCCAGCTTGTGTTGTTTTAAAAATTCTAAGTAATTTCAAAAAAATATAATGTTTTAGTGAAATTATTTAAGTTGTAAATGTATGTAATTTTTCCTATTAAATTTTTAAAGTAATTTAACTTACATAATGTATATGCTATAACACATACTTAAATTGAAGCATTCTTTTAATCTAAAATATTTTCATGCTAACTTATGAGTTAAGTTTTGCATAGCAAATTGTATGGTAGGCCTATTTATGTATTTGTATGATTTAATTCAAACTTTCCAAACTATATAGTAATAATTATTAACTGATTTATAAATTATGGACTTATTTCGTGTGCAATAATTTTGGAGAAATTTTGGAGTCCTTAAAATATTCTGCATCTCTGCTCACAAGTTGGATTGCACCATATTACTTCTTACTGCCTGCAGACAACTACACTTGGTTGACCATATTATCAGCAAACGAAACAGGGTAGCCAAGGAGAATTTTTTAACAATTTTTGACAAATTTCCTGACTTTCCATTACTATTTCTGAACTTCGATGAAAATCCCTGACTTTCCAGGGTTAAAAAGCAGATATGCCTGATGCTGCCTGGGGCAGCATCAGGCATATCTGCCTAAATAACAACAATAAACATGAAAATAAACCATAATAAGAGCCTGCCATTTTGTGTTTGCTGGTAACTTTGTATTAAATACAAGAAATTTACTTAATTTTCATGTCTGAATGCCTCCATTTACTTATCAAATTTTGCAAAAATGGATCAAATATTTAGACATGGCACTCTCAAAATTCCTAAAAACAATTTTGTGCTTGATAATAACCTTGTATTAAGTAATTTTCCTATTCAAATGTTACAATCCCACTGGTCAAATAGTAAAGTACCCTATTATGGGTGGAAATTAAAGTCAATTCAACCAAAATAGTCAATGACCTCTTCCTGAATGAGCAGATGGTCTCTGAGAAGCCTCATTGTATGTGTTCAAATCATGTCAAAATGTATAAAGAACAAACTAATAAACTTTCTTCATATATCAGATATTTCTTGGGCTCAAGTTAAGAAGGAATGGACTTTAGGGGTGGCTGAGGTGAGGATTCTCAAAGTATTTTTCTAGAGTGTTGAAAAATATTCATGCCAAATTTGGTTCAGATACGTTGAATGGTATAGAAACCTTTACTTATATATATATATACATATTTTGACTTTTACTTATATAGATTGATGCAAAGATGGGAAAACCTACATAAAAAAGTTGTCTTTGCCAAAGAAAATTGTCGTTCCTACAACATGAAATTGGATGACTTTTGTGTATGTAAGTAAATTTTATATGAACTTTCAATATTTGAGTTTATTTTTTTTTACATTAAAGAAAATAAGATAATCATAGTAATAGACTAATAAATTATTTTGCTGTTAATTCATTTAAAAATACATTAAAAATCTATTTTAGATAAGACAAGAATAGTTATTTCTTAAGTTAAATGAAAAATTACAAAATTAATTTAACACTTACTGAAAATTACATCATCTCTTAAAGTTGGTTGAGAATAACTCTCTTCCTCACTTTCAGTATTTTCATCTCCTAATAAAATATACAAATAAATTTAATCATATGTAAACATAAGAATTTATGATAAAAAATTTATGAATTAAAATAAGAACCTATGAAAATATTAGCAAATCCTTGGTCTTTGGAATCATTGCTATAGAGAGATATAATTTCCCATTCTTCTTCACTTAAAAAAAATTTATAAGAATGAGGAGAAAGCATGCTATTATCCAATACAATTTCATCTTCCACTTCAGGCACACTTTCACAGTTTATGTTGTCCACATTATGATTTTTGTTTTGCAATTGTTCCCTTGTGACAATTTTGTCAGCTTCACTTACTGTGTCGTCTTTAGTCAAATTAGAATGATTTTTATCTAAGTCACATTCATTTGGAAAACTTTCACTGCTAATATTATCTGGCATTTCATTTCCCAGATAAAGAATTTCATAATTTATTCTCAAATAATCAGAATCTTTATTCTCTTTACTTAAATTAGATTTTGATTGAAGTAAATTATCTTGACTTGAGTTACTGGCTTCATCTAGTGGTTTCTGAAGATCTATTCTTTCAATACCTTCATTAATTTCTTCATAAGAACTGTCATCACTTGTATTCTCTAGTGACTTTATCAAACCTGTAAAATGATGATTATTGCTTACTATGCTTTGCAAAAATTTAAAATTACATTAAAATTAAACTACAAAATCATACCCCTCTCATTTTGTGTAAATAAGAAATAAAATGAACTAGGAGCATGACAAATATATGTAGATGAAGCTTGATGTAATAACAGTAAACAATTAAATATTTTTTTAAGTAAAGACAACTTAAAAGTGTTGAAAAACTTTTGAATAAGCCATGGTATAGCAACTGCTATTTCTTTTGACAAAAGGACATTTTCATTGCTGCTAAATTTATCCTGAAAAAAAATTTAATTATTATTTCAAATTAATCATAAAATTGTCTTTATTTTTAAAGATAAAATATGCATTACTTCAAGAATGCTAAAGAGAACATCCTCTGTTGAAACTGAAAGCATTTGTGATATATTATATTTCTGATATGAATGTTTGTCTCTGACTAATGTTTGAAGTATAGAGAAAAGTGTTTTTAAAACTTCAGTGTCTATTTTTTCCCAGATTTTCCAACATATTATCATTTCCTTAAACATCAGAGGATTAATTATAACAGATTTTGAATTGCTGTCAACAAATGCTGCTCCATTAGAAGAATCTATTTGTAAAATTGTTCCACTTATGCACGCATTTAAAAATACCTATAAAAATAAAAAGAAAATTATGACAACACAGTAAACAAATCTATATATTTAAAATATGTTTACATAAATAGCCTGATTATATATATTTAGCTACAAACTTTAAGAATAGTTTTAACTTTTTAAATATAATGGACAGTGGATAATTCAACATTTCAATGATGATATGATGATATTTATGTATAACATTTCAATATTGTTATACATAAATATCATCATATCGACCCAAATGTAAGTAGACATCAATTTTTTATTATTAATTTTATTTGCATTAAAACAATTTAGGAAGTCATTGAAACAATACTCCATCATAACTTTCATTGTCATTCCTGCTTTCAATTTCATTACCACATCATGGTCTTTGGCCTCACTTTTTTCTCAAAATTAATTTATTTAGAAATAAAATTTTTTTAAATTTGTATTTATAAATATCTAGGAATAAATCAGTGTAAATGGATTTTTGATTGAAAAAATTACTAAGAAAGCAAATTGCATTTAAATCATATCTAGTCTATCAGAAATTGTACTCAGTTTGTTTTTTAGAAATAAATGTTTGCATCAGACACTTATAATAAGTAACAATTTGTCACTTATTTCTTTTTCTGCTAATATCAATAAAAATAAAAGTTATAAAGCAAAATCAAGACATTGTCCTATATATGCTAATAGGCTACCTGGCTTCTAACCAGAACTTAAGCAATACTACAAACGTCAGATTCAAAAATAAACTAAGGATTCAGGACTACCATTCCTGAACCTATTCAAAAGTAAAATTATATCTTGAATCCTTAATTAAAATTTATGTTTGCATGGATTTAGTGTAGATAATTAAAAGAAGCTGTGTGAGCTACAATCCATTAGAAGTAAGAAAATAGACTGAAGAAACAGAGTTCTGATCTATGACTCTAATGTTATAAAAACAAATTAAAGAAATAACTCATTTTTCTTAGTAAGAATATTGTCTTAATGTACAAAATATATAAATGTTAAAATTAGGCAACTCATTCCAAGAATTTATTCATATTGATGATACTATAGTATCATCAATATGAATAAATATGTCAAATAAATAGATATCAGTGAAGATGAAAGTACTGTTAATAAATTTGGTTTCATATATGAAACCAAATTTATTAACACTACAGTAGAGCTCGTTTATCCGAATCACTTGGGAACTAAGGTTGTTCAGATAACTTATTTTTCGGATAACCAATTATGTACAAAAAAATATATTAACCTATCCCATGTTGAAATTTTTCTTTGTTGCGTGTCACTTCACGTTGAATTTTTGTCGATGTCAAGCCTAACAAAAACTTTTTAAAATAATAATCGTGAAAATTATTTCTTTATTTTTTACAAACAAAATAAATATATTCAAAAATATAAAAACAAAATACTTTAGAAGTTGATCTAGTATCAAAAACATTCGATTCAGCACGACACACAGTCCTCAGAAAAACACCACACAAAAGTACCAGTGCTGCCAGCTAAAACACACACACCAACAAAAAAAATATTGGAGTAGCCCAAGATATAGCCAAAGATTGTAGCGCCACAGCACTAGCAAAAATTTAAATTTGCCAACTGGAATTCTTTCGGATAACCGACGCTCTACTGTACTTTCATCTTCACTAATAAAAATACTTTTAATAAATTTTGTTTTTATGCTATATCTTATATAAATTTTTTGAATGAGAATGAGTATCATAATATAACTTTAATTCAATTAGAAACTTCAGACTAGGAGGTGTTAAAGAGAATTAAAAGGAATATTTTATATATAAGGAATATTATAAAATATTCCTTTTAATTCTCTTTAACACCTCCTAGTCTGAAGTTTCTAATTGAATTAACACAACTGTTGGGTGACATCCAATCCAAGTATTTAATATACCTAAAACAATTTGTTACTAGAGAGAGGCATTAGGAGCCATCTCTTATTAAATTTTAATAATTATAATTAAATTAATATTTATTAATTAATTTAGAAGATTCTAGAAGAAAAGAATCTGCCTGGAGCAGGACTTAACTCCCATTAACTCCTGCTTATTGTGTAGATGTGTTGCCAGTTATGCTGCTTGAGCCTCCACTCTNAAGCTGAGAGGGGAAAATACAATCAAAGCAGTAAATACTTAGGCAATACCTGTTATATAACATTGCTGTCATAATTGATTGAATCAAGACTTGATGCTTAGATCAAAAACACAAAAAATGTTGATAATTAATCATGCTTTAAATCCAGAAAGCAACAAAGGCAGACTTAATCTGAGCTGTGAAAAAACAGACTGCTACAAATTAAACAAATTGTTGAAGGAAAAAGAGGGCTGTTAGAATACATAGAAGAAAGAAAGTGAAAAGGAAATGTAGAAAGAAGGTAAAAATACTGAATTTCTACAAATCAAAGGAAAAAAGCAACACACTAAAAGCACAATTGACAACCCAAAGAAACAACTGAAAAAATAAAAACCACTGCCTCAGAAATATCTTTAAGTACTAGTAATTTTAGATCTGTATTTGCATTTTTTATATTACTATTTAATTAAAAATCTTCTGTTATAGAGCTGTTGTTAATATTTATTTACTATTTTATAATCTGTTATGTATCAATACTAAAATGTTATAATTATTAATCTAAAAACATGAGTTAATTTTCATATTCTGAATTTTTTTTCCTAAAGATTTATTTTTATTGTTTATGATTTGAATAAAAACTGGATTATCTGAAGAGACTTAGATATTTTGTTTTTGGATATCACAATCTTTTGTATCAGGAATTTTTAATTTAATAGTACAAATAATTTATAGATATATGGCCAAGTAAATAAAATGTAAAAAAGAAATATGACAATTTCACTTATGAAGTTATACCCTGCATGTCAAATTTTCATTGGTGCTAGTGAATTAAATATCCAAAAATCTTCTAACCCTAAACATCAAAAATGGATGTTTAGTAATTATAAAAATTATAACACACTTAAAGCAATTCTTGGTATATCACAATCATGATCAATCAAAGATTTTTGAAACCATAACCATTGTCAGAGGAAGTTTTACAGTTTATAACATATAACTACATATGACAACTGTTGCTTAAACTTTTGAGGAGGTGGAGGATTAGTGAGATTGGGTTGGGAGAGGATGATGACAACAACAATGGTCTTAATAATCAAAATGTACACTTATTGACCCAAGCATTTACAATAATGAAACTGCAAAACACAAAAAATTGCTCTGGCATAAGTTAAAAAATCTTTAGGAGTGAATTGAGGAGTGGGGAGACTCTCAGTATTTTTTTCTTGAGTGTCAAAGAATATCTATGCCAAATTTTGTGCAGATACATTGAACAATACAGAACCTTTTACTATTCAATCTATCTAATATAAATACATCCTTTGAAAAATAACTTATATACAAGAATCCTACTCAAATTTTTGTTTCAAATTTCATGACTTTCCCTGACCAACTTTGCACAAATTCCCTAACCCTCATGTCCCTTACAGTACAGCACATTAATAAAATGAAACAAAATTTGACTATGTACATTACATATGCTATTGCTTCTCTAATTTTTTAATTAGTTATGTTTTTCTAATTAACAATTATGTAACTTTTATAACAATTAAATTATTAAAATTAAAAACAAAATGTTTTATTAAATAAAAGTGATTTACTCTGTTATTAATTCACAACTGTAAGACTACATGGCTTCGTAGAAAGCCATTTATTTATTTATTATTAACAAATCCTGTATTATCCATGTACAAAAGTATATATTTTTTAAACTTGCTCCTTAATAAATTTACCAAACTTTATAAAACATTAATAAATTGCATTAACAAAAAATTTCTGATTTTTTCCAATCAAAATTATTAAAATAGAAAAATGATAAATAATTTTAATATAAATGGTATTATTTAACCTTTTTTTGTACTTTGTAACCTTTTTTCTCATCAATGCATTTACATTGCTCGTAAATTGAGTGTAAATGGTAATTGTGAGGAATTTGAAGAGATTTAAAATATTTCAAAAAATTATATCAATGTTAGATTATTAAGAGCATTACAGATTTTTGTTTTTCTTCTATAAACTCAAGGATCCCTGTTAACACATCTGCAGAAATCTGCTATCTAAATTATCTCAAATACCTGGACATGAAAATATCTACTGTTCACTACACACACTAAATTTCCAGTATTTTCAGATGATGCTTTCAACGATATCAGATAAAGCAGTTGCGCATCTCAGGTTGAATAGATTGGTGGGAGAAAGCAATGTAACACTTGGACAATCTTCCAAGAAAGAATGATTCCCAGTGAATTTTCTATAGGAAACTGTCCCTATTTAGGTGTTAGATATGTAAAGAAAACTGATAAACTCCATGTGACCAGGCCATTGATTAGATGCAAACTTGTGATCAACTAACTTGTATTTCATCCACATAGCCATTGATAGCCTAAGCACATAAGGAAGCCAGCTTGTGTTGTTTTAAAAATTCTAAGTAATTTCAAAAAAATATAATGTTTTAGTGAAATTATTTAAGTTGTAAATGTATGTAATTTTTCCTATTAAATTTTTAAAGTAATTTAACTTACATAATGTATATGCTATAACACATACTTAAATTGAAGCATTCTTTTAATCTAAAATATTTTCATGCTAACTTATGAGTTAAGTTTTGCATAGCAAATTGTATGGTAGGCCTATTTATGTATTTGTATGATTTAATTCAAACTTTCCAAACTATATAGTAATAATTATTAACTGATTTATAAATTATGGACTTATTTCGTGTGCAATAATTTTGGAGAAATTTTGAGTCCTTAAAATATTCTGCATCTCTGCTCACAAGTTGGATTGCACCATATTACTTCTTACTGCCTGCAGACAACTACACTTGGTTGACCATATTATCAGCAAACAAAACAGGGTTGCCAAGGAGAATTTTTTAACAATTTTTGACAAATTTCCTGACTTTCCATTACTATTTCTGAACTTCGATGAAAATCCCTGACTTTCCAGGGTTAAAAAGCAGATATGCCTGATGCTGCCTGGGGCAGCATCAGGCATATCTGCCTAAATAACAACAATAAACATGAAAATAAACCATAATAAGAGCCTGCCATTTTGTTTGCTGGTAACTTTGTATTAAATACAGGAAATTTACTTAATTTTCATGTCTGAATGCCTCCATTTACTTATCAAATTTTGCAAAAATGGATCAAATATTTAGACCTGGCACTCTCAAAATTCCTAAAAACAATTTTGTGCTCGATAATAACCTTGTATTAAGTAATTTTCCTATTCAAATGTTACAATCCCACTGGTCAAATAGTAAAGTACCCTATTATGGGTGGAAATTAAAGTCAATTCAACCAAAATAGTCAATGACCTCTTCCTGAATGAGCAGATGGTCTCTGAGAAGCCTCATTGTATGTGTTCAAATCATGTCAAAATGTATAAAAAACAAACTAATAAACTTTCTTCATATATCAGATATTTCTTGGGCTCAAGTTAAGAAGGAATGGACTTTAGGGGTGGCTGAGGTGAGGATTCTCAAAGTATTTTTCTAGAGTGNTTATTAGTCTATTACTATGATTATCTTATTTTCTTTAATGTAAAAAAAAATAAACTCAAATATTGAAAGTTCATATAAAATTTACTTACATACACAAAAGTCATCCAATTTCATGTTGTAGGAACGACAATTTTCTTTGGCAAAGACAACTTTTTTATGTAGGTTTTCCCATCTTTGCATCAATCTATATAAGTAAAAGTCAAAATATGTATATATATATATACATATTTTGACTTTTACTTATATAGATTGATGCAAAGATGGGAAAACCTACATAAAAAAGTTGTCTTTGCCAAAGAAAATTGTCGTTTCTACAACATGAAATTGGATGACTTTTGTGTATGTAAGTAAATTTTATATGAACTTTCAATATTTGAGTTTATTTTTTTTTACATTAAAGAAAATAAGATAATCATAGTAATAGACTAATAAATTATTTTTCTGTTAATTCATTTAAAAATACATTAAAAATCTATTTTAGATAAGACAAGAATAGTTATTTCTTAAGTTAAATGAAAAATTACAAAATTAATTTAACACTTACTGAAAATTACATCATCTCTTAAAGTTGGTTGAGAATAACTCTCTTCCTCACTTTCAGTATTTTCATCTCCTAATAAAATATACAAATAAATTTAATCATATGTAAACATAAGAATTTATGATAAAAAATTTATGAATTAAAATAAGAACCTATGAAAATATTAGCAAATCCTTGGTCTTTGGAATCATTGCTATAGAGAGATATAATTTCCCATTCTTCTTCACTTAAAAAAAATTTATAAGAATGAGGAGAAAGCATGCTATTATCCAATACAATTTCATCTTCCACTTCAGGCACACTTTCACAGTTTATGTTGTCCACATTATGATTTTTGTTTTGCAATTGTTCCCTTGTGACAATTTTGTCAGCTTCACTTACTGTGTCGTCTTTAGTCAAATTAGAATGATTTTTATCTAAGTCACATTCATTTGGAAAACTTTCACTGCTAATATTATCTGGCATTTCATTTCCCAGATAAAGAATTTCATAATTTATTCTCAAATAATCAGAATCTTTATTCTCTTTACTTAAATTAGATTTTGATTGAAGTAAATTATCTTGACTTGAGTTACTGGCTTCATCTAGTGGTTTCTGAAGATCTATTCTTTCAATACCTTCATTAATTTCTTCATAAGAACTGTCATCACTTGTATTCTCTAGTGACTTTATCAAACCTGTAAAATGATGATTATTGCTTACTATGCTTTGCAAAAATTTAAAATTACATTAAAATTAAACTACAAAATCATACCCCTCTCATTTTGTGTAAATAAGAAATAAAATGAACTAGGAGCATGACAAATATATGTAGATGAAGCTTGATGTAATAACAGTAAACAATTAAATATTTTTTTAAGTAAAGACAACTTAAAAGTGTTGAAAAACTTTTGAATAAGCCATGGTATAGCAACTGCTATTTCTTTTGACAAAAGGACATTTTCATTGCTGCTAAATTTATCCTGAAAAAAAATTTAATTATTATTTCAAATTAATCATAAAATTGTCTTTATTTTTAAAGATAAAATATGCATTACTTCAAGAATGCTAAAGAGAACATCCTCTGTTGAAACTGAAAGCATTTGTGATATATTATATTTCTGATATGAATGTTTGTCTCTGACTAATGTTTGAAGTATAGAGAAAAGTGTTTTTAAAACTTCAGTGTCTATTTTTTCCCAGATTTTCCAACATATTATCATTTCCTTAAACATCAGAGGATTAATTATAACAGATTTTGAATTGCTGTCAACAAATGCTGCTCCATTAGAAGAATCTATTTGTAAAATTGTTCCACTTATGCACGCATTTAAAAATACCTATAAAAATAAAAAGAAAATTATGACAACACAGTAAACAAATCTATATATTTAAAATATGTTTACATAAATAGCCTGATTATATATATTTAGCTACAAACTTTAAGAATAGTTTTAACTTTTTAAATATAATGGACAGTGGATAATTCAACATTTCAATGATGATATGATGATATTTATGTATAACATTTCAATATTGTTATACATAAATATCATCATATCGACCCAAATGTAAGTAGACATCAATTTTTTATTATTAATTTTATTTGCATTAAAACAATTTAGGAAGTCATTGAAACAATACTCCATCATAACTTTCATTGTCATTCCTGCTTTCAATTTCATTACCACATCATGGTCTTTGGCCTCACTTTTTTCTCAAAATTAATTTATTTAGAAATAAAATTTTTTTAAATTTGTATTTATAAATATCTAGGAATAAATCAGTGTAAATGGATTTTTGATTGAAAAAATTACTAAGAAAGCAAATTGCATTTAAATCATATCTAGTCTATCAGAAATTGTACTCAGTTTGTTTTTTAGAAATAAATGTTTGCATCAGACACTTATAATAAGTAACAATTTGTCACTTATTTCTTTTTCTGCTAATATCAATAAAAATAAAAGTTATAAAGCAAAATCAAGACATTGTCCTATATATGCTAATAGGCTACCTGGCTTCTAACCAGAACTTAAGCAAAGGTATACTACAAACGTCAGATTCAAAAATGAACTAAGGATTTAGGACTACCATTCCTGAACTTATTCAAAAGTAAAATTATATCTTGAATCCTTAATTAAAATTTATGTTTGCATGGATTTAGTGTAGATAATTAAAAGAACCTGTGTGAGCTACAATCCATTAGAAGTAAGAAAATAGACTGAAGAAACAGAGTTCTGATCTATGACTCTAATGTTATAAAAACAAATTAAAGAAATAACTCATTTTTCTTAGTAAGAATATTGTCTTAATGTACAAAATATATAAATGTTAAAATTAGGCAACTCATTCCAAGAATTTATTCATATTGATGATACTATAGTATCATCAATATGAATAAATATGTCAAATAAATAGATATCAGTGAAGATGAAAGTACTGTTAATAAATTTGGTTTCATATATAAAACAAAATTAATAAAAACAAAAGAAAACCTCGTTTATCCGAATCACTTGGGAACTAAGGTTGTTCAGATAACTTATTTTTCGGATAACCAATTATGTACAAAAAAATATATTAACCTATCCCATGTTGAAATTTTTCTTTGTTGCGTGTCACTTCACGTTGAATTTTTGTCGATGTCAAGCCTAACAAAAACTTTTTAAAAATAATAATCGTCGCTATTGTGTCGTTAAAAATTATTTTTAAATTATTTTGTTGCTTACAAAACAAACAACCACTCATAATTAGAAAATTAAGTCTCGTTTAAATACTGGCCTCCCTTCAATGGTCGAGCCAGTATTGCCAGCTAAAACACGCAAAAATTTAACAAAAATAATATTAAAGTAGCCAAGACATAGCCAAATATTGTAG